AGCCCAGCAGATTGAGGCTGCGGTGGCCGGGAGTGTGCCACTGCACTCCAGTCTGGGTGACAGAGTGAGACTCCAACTCAAGAAAAAAAAGAAAGAAAAACAACACCCTGAAGACTGTGTGCCCAATGTTTACCTGAGGTGTTCCTCATGATAAAGTGACAGACATATTCACACGGGACAGCTGTCACCTATGGATGCTTTTGAGTTTGGTCCTGACGTATAGTCATGACTGGGGACATAGATGAAGTACAAGTACCCAGGGCACGGCTACCTGTTGAAAGGCAGATGAGGCCTGTAAGACTGTTATCAGAAACAGCTGCTGGGGTAGCAGCCGAGGAAGCTGCTGGTTTCAGGACGGACATACGTCTTGCATTCTTCAGCTGGGGACAGGTCCTCCGCTACTGTCTTCCTGTCTTGCAAATTTATTTTCTCTCTCCCTGTCCTGTGGTTTGGACGTGGCTTGTCGCTACCACCAGGCGTGATACAGTTTGACCCTGTGTGGGAGGTGGGACTTCGAGGGGGGTGTTTGCGTCCCTGGAGGGATCCCTCATGAATAGGTCGATGCTTTCCTTGGGGGTGAGTTCTGGCTGAGGGGAATATGGCAGGTTCATACAAAGTGAGGGTCCTTTCTCCACACCTGCTCGCCCTTCTGTTTCTCCGCCACATCCTGACACAGCCCATGGCCCTCACCAGAAGTCGAGTAGGTGCTGGCACCACGTGCTTGGACTTTCCAGTCCAGAATCATGAGCTAAAGAAACATCCGTTCTTGAAACCACTTAGCCTCAGGGGTCCTCGGGCACATCAGCTCCAAGTGACCCACAGCTTGGTTCTCTTGGGAGCCAGCTCAGAGAACGTGGATGAGAGGCAGGGAGGCTGGATCTTCATGCAGGAGAGGTGGCATGGACTCACCCCTGTGCACATGCACACACACATACACACTCATACACACATGCATTAACACACACTTACCCTCACACATGTACACACATGCATATAATGCTTACGTGCTCATATACATACTTGTGCACCTCCATGCAGATGCATGAATATTCCTACCTACACATGCATGCACACACACACGTACACACTCATACACACATGCATGAACTCATCCCTCTCCACACACATGCATACAATGCTCACGTGCTCACACACACTTGTACACCTACACACACATGCATGAACTCTCCCACCTACACATGCACACATATACACATTCATACACACATGCATGAATTCATAATTCCCCCCCACATACATGCACACAATGCTCACATGCTCACACACACTTGTGCAATACATTTATATACATGAACTCTTTTTTTGAGTCACAGTCTCACTCTGTCACCCAGGCTGGAGTGCAGTGACACGCTCATGGCCACCGCTCTCGACCTGGACTCTGGCAATCCTTCCGCCTCAGCCTTCCAAGTAGCTGGAACTACATGCATGCACTACGACACCTGGCTTATTTTTGAATTTATTGTAGAGACAAGGTCTCACCAAATATGATGAACTCTTACCTACATATTCATGCATGCACACATGTACACACTCATACATACATGAACTCATACCCCTCTCCACACATGCACATACTTGCACACATGCCTACAGTGCTCACGTGTGCACACGCACACACACTTGAGCACCTATACGTACATGCACAAACTCTCCCACTTACACATGCACCCATGCACACACACGTACACACCCAGCTGTCAGTTGGGAGGCACACGTGGTAGCTGCAGGAGCTGGTGGGGCCTGAAGCCAGCAGGTGGGGACAGAGGGGTGAGGCGCTGCCCCCAATGGCTCCTGGTAACCACGTGGGAAGTCAAAGGTTATGGTCATGCTGGAAAAAGATTACACTTCATAAAACCATGTTTATTCAAAAAATCTCTTCAGAAAGTCTGGAAAGCGTAATAAATATCTGTACAGTGGCCGCCCGTCTCGAACGTGACACAGAAAGCGGGAACGTAAAGTGACCTGTAAACATAACCGTGAGCCCAGAAACAGGTGAGAAGCGTGATCAGTGGGGAGGCTCAGGCGCTTCGGTCGCGTCCCCGCTTGGCCACCGTGGTGTTGCCTCCTGCTCTGTCCTCCCGGCCAGGGACCCGCAGCGTCCTCCTCCATTCTAAGTGTGCTTGCCTCTTGGGACAGCAAGGGTGGCCACCATGCCGGCCATCATCACGTGTCCGAGAGCCCATCGAGCGGAGCCCAAGTCCCAGTGTTCGGCTTAGGAATAACGCCATTTAACACACAACACTGGCTAACATTAAGCACTGCTGTCACTGTAAGAGTCGAGCAACCTTCCAAACAGCAACACGCACACACAATTAGTTGAAAATCACGTACACATCCGACGTAAGGATCTAAGTGAAATCCTCCCCTCTTGCCCGCACTGGACTTTGGAGATGGAATTAGGCAAAGCTCCCCCACTCTGATGGGGTGAACAGGGGAGGGGGATGAAAGGGTAGGAGGACCCTCAGTAGTGGTCAGGAGGGGCCCTTTGGCGGGGGGTTGGGAAGTCCAACCTAGGGCCCAGGGCTCTCCTTACAAGTTCTGTGGTTTTCATGATCCTGAGGGGTGACGACGATTGGGCCACGGGACTTTCTAAGTCGCTGTCCTTTGTGCTAATCACACAGGGCCTATCCTTGGGTGCAGATGGGGCTGCACCAGCGAGGTGTGAATTGCAAACACTCCATCACTGCGGACTGACAGCTGTGTGTAAAGCAGTTACTGGCCAGTTCACTTCAGCTTTTTGAAAGCTTGGTTTAAAACATGGTATCATAACTTCTTTGGGCCGACTTTCCATGCAAGGATTTCAAGTATCCCTTTGTTGTGGATGAGAGGGGGAAGAAGAGGTATTTTATAGACACTCAGCGGAGCAGGATGGGCCAGTGTCATCCTTTAAGGACACACAGCAAATACACAGCAAGGACAGAGTGCGGTCCCTGGGGCATTCTTACAGCTCAACAGGTAAGGCTGTAGACATGGGGGTTATTGGAAAAGATGGTAGCTGGTGCAACGGGGGGCACTAGGAGAATGAACGGGGCCTCTCAGGGACACTCCCATGCCCTCCCTCCGCTCCTCCCACCACCCGCCACTGCTGCAAGCACACACCAGACGTGCCAGCCCAGAGGCCAAAGGCGCAGTCACTGGACAGACAGCGGCCCTGCATGCAGGAGCTTGGTGACTCTTGTTCGTTTCTAGGAGGACAAATCCATGACCTAAGGATTATCCACTGTCCTAAGTTTCTAATAGGAGATGAAATAATTCAAACCTAAAAACCCAAATTCTCATGGATGGAGGCCAAATTTTAGCCTTGGGAAAATGCTGAGAAAATGTGTGCCATGTCCACAGGCACCACAGAAACGCAGCACACAACCTTCACCTTTAATTACTTGCGGTTCCCTGAAAAAAAAAAAATCCTCATGGAATAATTAAAGCTTCTGAACCAAGTTGAGATTTTAAAGTCTGAAAACAAGTGGACTGAGCTAAGGAGTTATTTTTCAGAATGCCACACCTTTTTTTTTTTTTCTGAGTTGGGTCTAAGAGGAACTCAAGATAGAGAAGAGAAAACAGACAACTAAGTGCCATCTTCTTAGTGACAACCTGGCTGTGAGCCGGGACACCCTTGGCCCCCGGCTTGCCACAGAAGGGGGCTGCTCTCTGTACTGAACTTCTCCCTCTCCCCCGCATACACACCCAGGGCAACACCAAACACCCCTGAGGGGTCTGTTTAAAGACAGATCTGTGTAACAGAAACACAAAACGCCACACAAAACCACAGCGTCTACAAAGTGCATCACCACTGCATAATGAATGCATCCTGGCTCCCGCCCGCTCCAGGGTGTCAGGGAGGGGCCTCAGTCTCCCTCCTGCCTCCCTGGAACTGAGATAGGACAGTGGGAGGCAACAGAGCTCAGTGTTTCCCATGTTCACAGTTTCTTTGTAGGCCAGAAGAATGAATGCGAACACAGCAAAACCACAGCTTGGAACCTTTGCGGCCACCAGAGCCGGGGACAGAAGGCAGCTCAGTGTGCTGGCCTCCGGGGCAGAGGACACAGGGTGACACAGGCTCCCTCTGGGCCCCTCCTGAGAAGTTCCCCTCTCAGTTCTGGTGAGATGTGCCTAGCAAGCCATCCGGATTCTTGGTTGGGCTCTGTCCCCTCATTTGAATTTGGGACAGTGAAAAGAAGAGACATCCAGCACCTCAGGCGGAGACTGGAGAGTGAGGGGAGACAGCTCTTTGGATTACTTTGGGCAGGGCCAGGCGCCTCCCGGACGCCCCGTCACGCAGCCCCTGGGACACCTGGATGCCTGGTAGCCTCTCTGTGCCCCCAACAGTGTGTCCCCACATGGACATTTCCCTTCCCGTCCTAACCAGGACACCCGTGGTGGGTCTGACCAGACTCCTAGCTTTGACCCTGGAAGATCTCTCGTATGAACTGAAGCCATCACAGGAGAGGACCCAAAGGTCCCTCGAGAACCCGCGGCCTCACACGGCAACTGAGCTGAAGGGGGCGCATTTGGTGCTGCTGGGGACAAAGGGTGGCGAGGCTGGCACAGTGAGGCTGAGAAGCCCCCAGGTCAGGATCCCTCCAGGGCTGCAAAGCAAACGCAGGACAGGAGGCGCGCCTGCCTCCGCGGAGGCCTCGTGGGCGCCCAGGCCGGCAACATCGGAGTCCGGCTTCTGTGTGCCCACAGGAGACATCAGGGCTGGTGGTGCGGAGCCCGCGGCTACAACCTGGTGGATGTGAGTCTCTTCATGCCTCGGCGCTGTGCCAGGTTGGACGACAACACCGGCTCCAGCCGTGGGGCCTGAGGTGTTCTGTTTAGGGCAAAGTAGGTGGCTGCCATTGCGCCCTGCAAGACAGAGGGAGGGCGAGGAGTCATAGGGGCCTGCCACTCCTGGGCATGAGGCTGGAGCCATGGGACCTCACTGGGCCTCGGGGTCCCCCCAGGGAATGTGGGGAAACGAGGGCTGCCTCCAGAGCTTCCAGTGTGTGGGAGCAGTGAGCTGTTGCAGAGGCTGGTGCTCCAGACCACCAGCAGTGGTGACCTGGGTGACAGTGAGACTCCAACTCAAGATAAAATAAAATAACATAAAGTAAAATAAAATAAAATAGTGGGACTTTTGCAAACATCAGGTCTAGAATTGAGGCTGTGGCCCTCAGAGCTGAACACCCATGACACGTGCTCACAGAATCCCCACTGAAGCTGCTGTGCCTGTGCATGACAACAGGTGTGAGGGCAGGTAGGCCAGGGATGCCCTGTGGTGGCCACAAGTCCCTCCTCTGTGCCCCATGACGCCTGGGCTGAACCTTGAGGTAGGGGCTCTCCCGGGGCTTCCCGGCCCCCTGCATTGCTCTCGGTGCCTAGGGTACCTTCACCAGGTGCACATCCTGCCGGCTGAGCTGGTTCTGGGACAGGTACTCCCTGTTGACGATCCAGGGGTGTTTGAGCACCTGTACAGCTGTCAGGCGCTGGCGGGGGTCCACATGTAGCATCTTGGACACGACATCCTGCGGGGGTTGGGGGGGCAGTCAGTGGGGCTGGGTCAGAGCGCCTCCCGACACAACGCCTGCTCACCCTCTGACGACGGCACCCAGCCACCATCCAGAGCAATTCTTTGCATTTGGGGTAAAACATTGACTTTAAGGTTTAGAAGCTTGTGAGTGGTTAACTATCACCCACTTAGCAGTTCACTGAAGGTTCATGCTTGTTTTTGCTTTTTTAATGGAGACAAGACTTTACTCTGTTGTCCAGGCTGGAGAGCAGTGGTGAGATCACAACTCACTGCAGCCTCAAACTTCTGGGACCCAGAAAACCTCTGACCTCAGCCTCCTGAGTAGCTAGGACTGTTGCCACCATCCCTGGATAATTTTTTAAAAAATATTTTGAGCCGGGCTCGGTGGCTCAGCTGGTAATCCTGCGCTTTGGGAGGCCGAGGTGAGTGAATTGCCTGAGCCTGCGGGTTCGAGACCCGCCTGGGCAACTTGGTGAGACCTCATCTCTACAGTAAATCAAAAAATTAGCCAGGTGTGGTAGCGCACGCCTGTAATTCCAGCTGCTTGGAAGGCCAAGGCGGAGGATCGCCAGAGCCCAGCAGGTTGAGGCTGCAGTGGCCGGAAGCGGCCACTGCACTCCAGTCTGGGTGACAGAGTGAGACTCCAACTCAAAAAAAAAAAAAAATTTTGTAGAGGTGGAAACTCACTGTGTTGCCCAGGTTGGTCTCAAACTCCTGGCCTCAAGCAATCCTTCCACCTAAGCCTTCCAAAGCACTGAGATCACAGGTATGAGCCACTGTGCTCAGCCTGAAGGTTCGTCTTTTATTAAATAATTTATGTCTACAGAGAAATTAAATGTGGGAATGTTAGAGGATGTGTGTAAACTGGTGAAATACTATTTTTGTAAAAATGATATACTTCAGCCGGGTGCAGTGGCTCATGCCTGTAATCCCAGCACTTTGGGAGGCGGAGGTGAGAGGATTGCCTGAGTTCAGAGGTTCAAGACCAGTCTGGGCAACTTGGTGAGACCAAAAATAAATTTTAAAATATTAGCCAGGCATGGTGGCACGCACCTGTAGTTTCAGCTACCTGGCAGGCTGAGGCAGAAGGATCAAATGAGCCCAACAAGTCAAGGCTGTGGTGGCTGTGAGTGTGCCAGTGTACTCCAGTCTGGACAAGAGTGAGACTCCAACTCAAAAAAAAAAAAAAAGATATCCTTCTAAAGGGAGAAGCTGACATAATAGCTATTCATAGAAGTCAATTCATAACTGTGTATGTGATTATGTTTTTATCAGGAATGTCCACAAATATTTACTACAAGTAATTACCAACCATGGAATCTATAGCCTGGAGCTTTCGATATGTCCGGATAGAAGCAATTTTCTCACATGATTGTAAAGTAGAAACAATACAACTCTCTAAAATGGGTAGAGTGTCACTCTCCATTTGCACATGTTAGCAAGACAAGTATGTACACATTTGATATTATATATATTCAGCTGTACCATGAATCACATGTGCATGGCATGTCATGAAATGTCTTGACATACTGGACGTGTCTGCTCTGGGCACCATGACCAACCTTGAAGTAGTCAGGGAAAATATTGCTTTTTCTTTTCTTTGGAGTCAGAGTCTCACTCTGTCACCCAGGCTGGAGTGCAGTGGAACGCTCATAGCCACCACAGCCTCAACCTGCTGGGCTCAGGCGATCCTTCCACCTCAGCCTTCCAAGTAGCTGGAACCATAGGGATGTGCCACCATGCCCAGCTAATTTTTTGATTTATTGAGAGACGAGGTCTCGTCATGTTGCCCAGGTTGGTCTCAACCCGCGGGCATAGGCAATCCTCTCGCCTCCGCCTCCCAAGGTGTTGTGATTACAGGCTTGAGCCACTGTGACCGGCAATATTGCTTTTCTTATTTTGCAGATGAAGACATTGAAGCGTGTAGTGATTAACTGCCCAAGGAGGACCTAAGACGAGACCCTGTGTTCTCTCTGCCAGCGTCCTCCCCTCCCCATTCCCCCACTTTCAAAACATGACTGGTCACAGAACACAGCTAAGAAATGCTGTGCACGATGACACCATCTCTCTCCACAGAGAAGGCCAGAGTCTTTTAATTGCTGATGACATCCACCTTGGTAACAAGTGTTCCTGGAAGAACGGCTGTTCCCATTTTCAGTGTAAAAACGAAGAGAACTTCCCTGACGTGCTCAAGATCCCAGAGTCATGACTGAGCGAGGCAGTGACTTTGCTCAGTACCTGCTGGGTGTGGATAGAGACCGTGGGGTCTGAGGTCTAGCGGTTCTGTCAGGGCAAGGAAAAGGCACAGGAAGAGACCAGTGGCGGCAGAGACGGGGCTGAGGGCAGGCGGGTTGGCGAGGTCTGGGGGCAGCTGTGGTCTTGGGGGTGTGCCCTGTGCTTGACTCCACCCCTTTCCTGACACCTCCCCCTGCTCCCCACTCCTGCTTCTGGATCACCCCAAATGAGCCACCACGTTCTGGTCTCAGGCTCTACTGTGGGAGCCAGAACTAGGATGTTTGAGACTACTCATTCGAGACCCAGTGGAGGTGCAGACGGGAGCACTTGTACTGTCAGGGTCGGACACGCAGAGAGCGTCACTAAACGCTAGCTGCCATGTCCTACACCAGCACCCCATCATCACCTCTGCTAGCATCTCCACAACAATCTCCATCACCACAATCACCTCCACCGTCACCTCTGCTGTCGCCCCCACCATCACTTCCACTATCACCTCCATCGTATCCTCCACAATCACCTCTACCATCACCCAAACAATTGCCCTCAACATCACCTCCACAGTATCCTCTGCCATCTCGCCATCTCTTCTACCATCACTTCTACCACCATCACCTCTGCTCTCAACTCCACCATCACCTCCACGCTCTTTGGCTGCATCCTCCACTGTATCCTCTGCCATCTCCACCACTGTCTCCTCTCACCATCCTCTATTAGCTCTGCTACCATCATCTGTACAATCACCTTTGTCACCATCTCCTCTGCCATCCCTCCCACCATCACCTCCACTGTCACCTCCACCATCACGTCCACTGTCACCCCCACAGTTACCTCCATAGTCACCTCTACCATCAGCTCCACTGTCAGCTTTAAAGTCAACTCCACTGTCACCTCCAGTCACCTCCACCATCACCTCCACAGTCACTTCCACCATCAGTTTCAGTCACCTCCACCATCACCTCCATAGTTGCTCTCACCATCAAATCCACCATCATCTCCACAGTCATCTCTGCTATCATCTCTGCCGTCACCTCTACCGTCACCTCCACTGCCACCTCCACCATCACCTCCACTGTTACCACCTCCATCACCTCAACTGTGACCTCCACCCTCTCCTCCACCATCACCTCCACTGTCACCTCCACCACTACTGCAGGAGGTCATATGGCAGTCCACGTTCACAGTATTGATAGGCATGCCCCTGTAATTCAGCGTGCTGCCTGACCAACCTGTGGACATTTGGGGCACTCATCCTCCAACATCATAAAAGCATGGGGTTGTGTTTGGTCTGGGTCATGGAGCCCAGTCTGGATGGCGCTGTGCAGGTATTTTTTAGATGTAATTAACATTTAAATCAGTTGACTTTGAGTAAAGCAGTTAACCTCCACAATGTGGTGGGCCTCATCCAATCAGTGGAAAGCCTTACAGCAAGAGATTGTGCTCCTTGAGGAAGAGTGACCTCTATCAGCAGATGGCGTTAGCCCTCGGAGGCTGACTGCGGCGTTGCCTTCTCCTAGGCTCCAGCCTTGAAAATGAAGCTCTTTTCCTCTCTAAATACACACACACACACACACACACACACACAC